AGTCTCAAGCTGTCACCCTGGGTAGAGTGCTGTGGCATCACAGCTCACAGCAACCTCAAACTCTTGGGCTTAAGAGATTCTCTTGCCTCAATCTCCCAAGTAGCTGGGACTATAGCCGCCCACCACAACATCCGGATATTTTTTGGTTGCAGTTGTCATTGTTGTTTAGCAGGCCTGGGCCAGGCTCGAACCCACCTGCCTTGGTGTATGTGGCTGGCACCCTACTCAATGAGCTATAGGCCCCAAGCCCAGCAGCTTTATTTGTAACAGACCAAAAGTGGAAGCAACCTAAACGTCTATCAAAAGGTGAATGGATAAACCAATTGTTGCATATCCATACAGTAGAATTCTACTCAGCAATAAAAGGAATCACCTACTGAGACATACAACAAAATGGATGAATCTGAAGGTAATTATGCTGAGCAAAATAAGCCAGACAAGGAGAGGATGTAATGTATGAGTCTATATACATAAAATCCTATCAAATGCAAACTAATCTATAAAGAGAGAAAGCAGATCTAAGGGAGGGCTTGGGGAGGGCTGGGGGCCACAGACATGTTCCCTTCCTTGATCATGGTGATGTACACCACATGCCAAAACATAAAATTGTTTTCTTTAAATATATGCAGTTTACTGTATGTCAATCATATGGATGAGGATGAGCCTAAAACATCTTGTCATATTAGAAAGCAAGCAAATGAGTCATTTTGTCAAAAGGATTCAGGTGCTGACTTGAAAGAGGTATCCATTAGCCAAAGATGGGAAAATATGGGCATCAGTTGGAATAATAACTGCAGTGGATTGAAAGAGAACAAATATGTTTAAGTCTATGTGATCATAATGATAGGATTATTATTTATTTTTCTTGTCTTTGTTTTCTTTATTTTATTTTTTTCTAGAATTACCACAGTAGGAGATTTCTTTTCTTTTTTTGTGAGTCACAGTCTTACTCTTGCTCATGCTGTCTCAAACTCCTGGGCTCAAGCAATCTACCTGCCTCAGCCTCCCAGAGTGCTAGGATTACAGGTGTGAGCCACTTTACCAGGCCAGCTTAGACAAACTTTAGAAAAAGAAAGACATTCAGGCCAGGCATGGTGGCTCACACCTGTAATACTAACACTCTGGGAGGCAGAAGTGGGAGGATTGCCTGAGATCACAGGTTCCAGACCATCCTGAGCCAGAGTGAGATCTTGTCTCTAAAAATAGCTGTGTGTTGTGGCCGGCCCCTGTAGTCCTGGCCACTTGGGAGGCTGAGGCAAGAGAATCGTTTGAGCCCAAGAGTTTGAGGTTGTTGTGAACTATGATGCCAGAGCACTCTACTGAGAGCCACAAAGTGAGACTTTGCATCAAAAAAAAAAAGAAAAGAAAAGAAAGAAAAAAAAAGAAAAAGTATGTTCATAGGCCAATCAGGTCATGTGAACATTAATTCATATTTTATGATTTTAGGAAATTATTATTGATTTTTTTGGGAGTGGGAGTGATAATTTTATGGATATGTGTTAAAAGGAGAATGCTTGTTCTTTAAGATATATACTGAAGGCTCAGCACCTGTAGCTCCAGCCACATACACCTGAGCTGGCAGTTTCGAATCCAGCCTGGGCCTGTCAAACAACAATGACAACTACAACCAAAAAATGCCTAGGCGTCGTGGTGGGTGCCTGTAGTCACAGCTACTTGGGAGGCTGAGGCAAGAGAATTGCTTAAGCCGAGGAGTTGGAGGTTGCTGTGAGCTGTGATGCCATAGCACTCTACCCAGGGCAACAGCTTGAGGCTGTCTCAAATAAAAAAAAGGTATATACTGAAATGTTTGCTGAAGAAATTATATGATGTCTGGATATTCACTTCAGAATAATGTTTGGGAGGGGGTGAGGTAGGTGCAGGGATAGAGCAAACATGGCTGGTGGTCATCAGTTGGTAATTGGAATAGAGTGGTGACTATATGGTGGTTCATCAGGCTATTCTACTTTGAGTATGTTGAAATTTTCCTTAATAAAAACATTTTGTTGTTGTTGTTGTTGTTGTTGTTGAGACAGAGTCCCACTCTATGCCCCTGAGCAGAGTGCAACCTCAGACTCCAGCTTGTGGACATCCCCCTGCTCAGCCTCAGTAAGCCAAGCCGCTGGGATTACAGATGCTTACTGAGGAGCCCAGCTGGGTTTTTCCATTTTTTTTTCATGAGTCAGGGGTCTCACTCTCGCTCAGGCAAGTCTGAAACTCCTGAGCTCAAGCGATTCTCCCTCTTCAGCCTCCCATAGTGCTGGGATTACAGGCGTGAGCCACCGCGCCTGGCCAATAAAAACGTTTTAAAATTGTGAGTCAAAATTACGCAAATACAAAAAATGCAATTAAAAAGTCAGGACAATAACCGGTGAGATCACACCTAAGGTGCATCTTACAAGGGTACATGTGAAATTTACTAGAATACAAATGTCTTAACAGAATAACTAAGAAAATGCCGTGAAGGCTATGTTAACCAGTTTGATGAAAATATTTCAAATTGTGTATAAAACCTGCTCATTGTACCCCATGATTGCATTAATGTAGACAGCTATGATTTAATAAAAAAAAAAAAAAAGTCAGGAAGAAATACTGTCCAGCAAAACATAGATGCTAGTTGTGTAAGGGCAGCAGGGTGAGTCCTTTTCTCCTTCATTTCTACACTTTTTGTGTCTATATATTTTAATATAATTTTTACAATGATAATAAAATGTAGGGTGGAGAAACTCTCTTTAGTCTTGCTGTCCTCGTCCTGATCTTAAAAACTCATCTATCCTCTTCCCCAAGTTCTCTAGGTTTTTGCGAGGCTTCCCGCCGTCTTTTCTAGGTTTAAGGTATCTGGGTTCTGATACCAGGAGGGTTTTGAGGAAAGCAGGTCAAGTTCAGCGAGCCCTAACCTTCTGCCCCGCCTGCAAACTGTCTTCCAAGCCACAGGCCAGACCACAGCGACCTCTAAGGTCGTTTCCAGGCGTCGCCGCCTTCCCGACGCGTTGGTGACACTTGCACGCACAGCGGAACTACATCTTCCAGGAGGCTCTGCGCCTAACAGGGTAGAAGCCCTTGGTAGCGGAGAACTACATTACCCATTAACACTTTGCGAGAGGCGTTGGCTGGACTTTCACCGTACAACCATTGGTCCAGCGTCGGTCGGGAGCTGCTCAGTCATTGGCCCAGAAGCCCGTCAGTTTCTAACGAGCACAGTTGACTTTTGAGGTTAGACTGAGCCCGGAGCGAGAGAAAGCCGAGAGCGGGGACTCAGGCCGCACTGGCCGAGCGGTGAGTGACCTCCACCTCCGCCCTTCTCTCTGTCCTCCGGGGACCTGCACCTACCCTCCCTTGGGCGGGCTCCAGAGAGCACACACGTCCTGGTACTCCCGTAGAGGCGGGGACTGTACTCACACGTGTCTCACCTTACCTGAGAAGCAGCTTTAGGGACGCCAGAGGCAAAACCCCGCGCACTTCTCGGGGCATCTGAACTCTCGGGCGTCCTCTCGGACTCGGGGAGAAAAAAACCTACCCTGAGGCACACCTGGACTGCTGTGTACCTGGGAATCTACTGAACAGCTGAACCCTTGGACGTGTGAGCGCTCACACGCTGGGGGGCGCCGGGAAGAGCCTGATAAGCCTCCTATCTCCTGAAACTGTGCGGGGATTCCTGCCACTGGAGCTGGCTCCGCCTTAGCTCCCACTTGGGCGGGAAACTGACACTGTTCTAAGTGACCTGAGGTTCCCTGCGAACGCCCGCCCCCTGTTTAAACGGCTTCTCACTGGCCCTATGGAGCAGTTCAGGGTGAAAGGGAGGAGGAAAAGAATCCGTGCTGGGTGGAGTGGAGGTTGTTGTGTAGGTAATTTCCTCCTTGTTACTGCAAATATTTAGGAACCGGCTTAAACCTGAAGTCTCTTCTAAAATCATTGTATGTTTAGTTTTAGTTTGGCTTTTCTTTTTTTGCCATAACAACTTCAAGTAATATAGTATTACATAGAGAAAGAGATATTCATCCTCCTTCTGCTAGTCCAGTGGTAACTTATCAACTACCTGTTGGTGTGGGTGTGTTGTTACAGACTTTTCTATATGCTTTATACAACTGTACAGATCATGTGTAGGTTTTGTTGCTGTTTTTCTTTTACAAAAATGGGATTATACTAGATATACTGCTCTGAAATCTTTTTTTTTTTTTTTTAGACAGTATCACCGTGGCAGGCGCCTGTAGTCCCAGCTACTTGGGAATCTGGGGCAGGAGAATTGCTTAAGCCCAAGAGCTTGAGGTTGCTGTGACCTGTGACACCACAGCACTCTACGGAGGGTGACATAAAGAGACTCTGTCTCAAAAAAAAAAAAAAAAAGACAAACTCTTGGACTCAAATGATGCTCTTACTTCAGTATCCCACCCAGAAACACCCAGCTATTTTTAGAGGGG